TGGGGCCCAGGGTCGAGGTGGGGCCCAGGGTCGAGGTGGGGCCGGCTGGCCCAGTGTGGTGGGAATGGCGAATGACACCCATGGGCACATCTCACCCGCAGGTCATGTGGGGGGAGGAGAGCAGGTCCCCATCCCCAGGGCTCTGGCGATGGCTGCTGGTGATCTCAGGTTAGGGGGCCTGCTCTACAGCTTCGTGTAGGAAAGCTTGGCTCATCAGGGTCGAGGCCCGTTTGGACTCAAGTGCCTAACTGGGCTATGGCAGCGTTCAGAGACGAATGGCCCCCGGGCCATGGAGGGTGCATGGCCGCGCGGTGGCCTCCAGTTTAGGGGAGGGCACAAACCTAGGTTTCCTGCGGCCTAACAATGAGGTTCCCAGGGGTACCGTGGTTTCTTGTATTTTAGGACAGGGTCTACAGGGTCTCACTACGTAGACTGGACTCGTAGTGATCCTGTTTTCAGCCTCTGGAGCTCTGGGATTACAGGCATGCACCACCATGCCCTGTCTCATTGCCAGTGCGGTGCCGGCATGGCATGCCAGGGATTGAACCCTGGCCCCCGTGTTCTGCCAAAGCAGGTGCTTTAGTCCATTGGGCTATCTGACCAGCCCTTTTTGGGGATGAATCTCACTAGGTAGTCAAGCTGGCTTTGAATTTGCTGCATAGTTCAGACTGTCTTCAAATTCTTAGGTTCCTGCCTCAGCCTCCGAAAGGCTGGGACTGAAGCAGATTCTTCCCCGCCCTGTTTAATAACTCTGGGAAAGACACAGAACTATCTAGGAGCTTTGTGGGCTAACTTCTGGCTAGAGGTCTCAGATGAACAAGAAACATTTGAAAGTTGCAGGTTAGCAGGTTTGGGTGGTACATGCTGGTAATCCCAGCACTCAGGAGGCCGAGGCAGGAGAATGCTGAGTTTGAAGCCTGCCTGGGTTACACAGCCAGGGCCTTCACACTGAGCTCCATACAATCTCAGTCTTTTAAAGTAACATTTAAAAAAAAAAATTGAGACAGTGTCTTTAATTTACCTGGATTTGGCTCAAATTTGAAATCTTCCTGCCTCAGCTTCCCAGAGTGCTGGAATTGCAGGTATGCACCACTACACCCTGCTTGTGGTTAAATTATTGGCCCAATCTCCTGTGGGACAACTTGAGGACAGAAAGCCCCATTGTGTCTGGAGTTAAAAAGGTCACATTGCCTTCAAGTACAGAAATATTAGCAAAAGCCATCTTTGCCTCCTTAAGAGAATTCACCCCAATTGTGCCTTGGAGGTGAGTGGTAGGGTGGGGAGTGGAGCATCTCACTGCCCCAGATGACAGCTGCCTCTAGACTCCCACCTAGGCATGCCCCTGGAGGGGCTCTGCCATCTGCTTCTGGGCATGTGGGCATAGCTATAATGCCAGCAGGAGGCTGAGACAGAAGGGTCACTGAGTCAGGCCAGCCTGGAGACCCTTCCCACCTACCCCAGTGGGAGGATGCTGATCTCAATGTGAAAGGTGATGCTGGATTGGGATCAGGGCCCCAGTTTCCTTGGCTGGGCCCCACATTGCAGAGTTAACAGGAAACTGAACTTGGGACCCAGTGCACTGGAGGAAGGGATGCGCAGATGCAGGGGTCTTTTGCGGCTCACAACTCTGAGCTCGTAGGCCAGCTCCTTCCCTCAGCACCACCCAGAGCCTGGGGGATCCATCTGGTGACATCTGATGAGATTAGCTGTGAGCGGGAAGGGGTGGCGGCTCGCTCCTTCGCCTCAAGCCCTGCAAGTCTCTGTCATCTCTATCTTGATCATCCTCTGTTCGCTCAAGAGCTCAGAGCAGCACGACCTGAAGGTTCTGAGGGCCGTGTATCAGGTTAGCAGAGGTTTGCCAGTGGGTACGAGGCATTGGGAAGGAAGGGGACTCAGCGAAGAAGAGCCTGGTGGGGGCTGATCATGTGCAAAGTACAGAAAAGTTACAGCTACAGAACAGTGAGTCTTTTTTTAAATTTTTATTTATTTATTTATTTTTGTTTGTTTTTCTTGTGGAACTGGGGATTAAACTCAGGTCCTTGTGCTTGCCAAGGAAGCACTTATTCCACTGAGCCACCTCTCCAGCCCCTTTTTTTTTTTTTTTTTTTTTCACGTCAGACGGGTAATGTGCCCACACTGTAACAAGGCTTGAGGGAGGCACATCTCATGCGTAAGGCATGAACACCTAATCATCATGCTCATGAACCAAAGGATCAGAACAGTGAGTGTGAAGGATAGGAAAGGCGTGGGGCCCAGCACCTCCCAGGTGCCTGGGGTCACCTTCCCTCACGGGGCTCTGCTGGAGCAGAGCCCCAAGTCCAGCCTCACGCACTGAGTGCCAATCTCTGTCCATCCAGGAGTGGGAACCTGCCAGGCCAGCTCTGGGGCAGGGACATGCTGGCTGATGGCAGGGAGGCTGATGGGCTAGCAGAGAAATCTGTCATCAGTTGTGCTGTAAGTGCGGTGGGAGATGTGAGCGGAGGCAGAAAGCCGTTGTGTGATATATGCCTCTGCCGGGCCCTTGGCTCTATATGATGGACAATAGAGAAGGGACAGTGGCAGCTTCTGGCCCTGGAAATGGTCCAGGTAAGGGGGGATGGGGCCAGGCTTGTACTCTAAGAGGTGGACAGGAGGCGCTCTCTCCAAGATGGCTTCAGGCAGAGCCAGCGTCTGGGCTTTTTCACGTGCGGGTTGAGTCAAGGAGGGCAGGGTGTCACAGTGAGGCTCAAAGCTTCCGGTGTGGGCTACTGGACGATTCCTCAGCTGAGCTGGGGGAAGCTGGAACGAGCAGGGAGTAGAGTTCAGGTGTGACGCATAGCTGAGGTCGGTGCAGCAGAGCTCAGCCCAGGCTAGAGCTGGGTGTGGGAAGCCCGGAAGGCATTAAAGACAGAGGCAGAGGGCTCCACAGGAGAGTCCTGACCCGCTCAGCTAGGAAATGGATCTCAGGGCCCAGGGCTCGTCCTGAGCCGTATTGTGAGCAGAAGCAAGAGAAATGAACGAGGCTGACGGTATCAGCGCTAGTTTACATAGGGAGGATGGTCAGTGGTCATTATACGAAATGTTTTCAGTTGCACTTAAAAGGTCAGAGCCTGAGCAGGGCCAGGGCCCAAAGTGTGTTTTATTATTTTTTGGAGACAAGGTCTCTATATGCAGTTCAGCCTGACCTTAAGCTCACTTTGCAGCCCAGGCTGGTCTTGAACTGGAAATGATCCCTTGCTTCAGCCTCCCAAGTGCTGGGATTACAGGGAGTGCTGGGATTACAGGCATGTGTCACCAAGCCCAGCTCACAAAGTGTATTTCTTACAGGGCGTCATTGTCAGGAAATCTGAAAGCTAAGGGGCCAGCAGAAGGGACTGTGAGCCGAGTGTTCAGGGAGGGAATCCGGTGAGGAAATCCTTGAAGAATGGACGAGGGAGCATCCAGGAAGAAGCAGGTAAGAACCACAGCCTCCTGCCAGGCTGGGTGGCATCAGGGAGGGACTGTTGCTGGGTGGAGCAACATGGAAGCGAGAGGTGACTGGACATCAGCCCTCCTCGGACACTTGGGCATAAGCCCTGGTAGGATGGGTTCTGTGCAGAAAAGAGGCCCTGGTAACTAGCTCAAGCATTCCTGTTTGCTTGGGGGTCCTGATAACCATTGCTGGGGGTTCCCTGTGTGCCATGTAGGGCGCTTTCCCTTGGCACTGCCACTGGTTCCATGTGCTTGTCCTCTGTGCCTAACTCTAGGGTAGCAGGGGTGAGCCTGTGGCACGGGTGCCACAGTGGGATACGTGCACTGAAAGCTCTAAAAGGTTCTCCGTCGCTGCTTTGGTGTGTACATGAATAGTGCGTTCGGTCAATGAATTCCCAGAGCTATTTCTAAGCTTTCTTGATTAATTTCATATAATATAATCGGATTCCACTATTCAATGCTAAACTTAGAGGTGGCTGAACAGATGTCTGGCTGTTAAGAAATGGAAAAGAAAAAGAAATGAAGTGAAACTACCCTAAGTCTAAAGACTCCAGGGCGAAAAAAAGTCCAGGAGCAGCATTGATTTCTCACAGATTCCATAAGGAAGGCATAGGCTTGGTAAATATACTACGCAAGGAAAGTGTTGTGTGTGTAGTTGGCTTTTACCTGATGGGCACCATGGGCTTTTGCCTTTTTCCTTTAGTTGGTTAATAGAAAGCAAGGGCCAGAGTTGGCTTAACACAGCAAGGGTAGATGACGTTCTCTATCAGGTTGAACCTCACGAACTTGGCTCTATTCAACAGTTAAGTAGTTTTATTACTTGGAGTTGGGCCAGGACATGGCATTTCTTGGTAACTCCCTCTCCACTGTTTGGTTCTTCTCTCATCTGCAAAATGTCTATCGAGAAACAGCAGTTTCCTATACTTCAAAGACTTAAGTAGTCCTTGCCTTTTTTTCCCTGCCCTCTGCCCTCTCTCCCTCTTCCTCTCTCCCCTCCTTCATCACTATCCTGGCCTGGAACTTGTTGGGATCCTCCTGCCTCAGCCTCCCCAATGCTGGAATTATAGGCATGCTCGACCACACCTGGCCCTTCTCTTGATTTGAATCAGTTGTGCTTTTGTTATCTTTGTTTGTTTGAGACTGGGTCTCACTGTGTACTTCAGGCTGGGATTAACCTATGTAGCTCAGGCTGGCCTCAAGCTCATAGTGATCCTCCTGCCTCAGCCTCCTGAGTGCTGGGATTACAGGCATGCTCCACCACACCTGGCCCTTCTCTTGTTTTGAATTAGTTGTGCTTTTATTATCTTTGTTTGAGACTGGGTCTCACTGTGTGGTTCGGGCTGGGCTTAATCTATGTAGCTCAGGTTGGCCTCAAGCTCATAGTGATCCTCCTGCCTCAGCCTCCTGAGTACTGAATGCTGTGCCCTTTGACCCTGAATTCATTTTGGAGTGCTTATAAAAGGAAAGCCTCCCACTCCCCATCACGTGAGGTCATTATGAAGGATGCTTTTTGCATCTTTATTTAAAAGCAGGCCAGAAACAGCCAGTGATGCTGCCGGTCTTTTCTGTCCCTTTTCCATTTCTGCATAGAAACCTGATTCTTTGAGACTTTCTCACATTGTAATGCGTCATTTAACATTGCTTGCTTTTGTCTTTTTGAGACAGGGCCTCACTGTGCAGTTCAGGCTGGCCTTGAGCTCACTTTGTAGCACAGGCTGGTCACTCACTATCAGTGATCCTTCTGCTCCAGCCTCCCAAGTGCTGGGACTGCAAGCAGGTGCCACTGTGCCAGGCATTTGACATTTCTGGAATTCTGGTCAAATCAAAGCCAGACCTCCTGTCTGTGGCTTGTCTAGTCAGTGCTGGGATTTACCATCAGTGCCCTAGGGCTCCAAATAGGCTCCAACGAAGCTTTTGGACGTCTTTTTTTTTTTTTTCTTTTCCTGAAGGTCTTGTTCTGGTGTCAGCCCTCTGTGACACGGTCTACTCTGCCCTTTTCTCATAGCCCTGCAGCCAGGAAGAGCATGTCGCTCCTGCTTTCAGGGGTGGGGTTGGAATGAAGCGCCACTAACTCAGGCCTGGCCTGCACAGTGGGTGTCAAGCACAAAGTCTTTGCCACCTGACCCCCCCCCCCCTTCTTTTGCTGGCTTCAGAAGAAGGCAGATTCTTGTTGCTCAGTTGGGAAGGGGCAGGGCAAGGCCTGGGCTTTTCACATTACATCACATGAGCTCCTGGGGTTCCTGGGCCTGGTGACTCAGGACAATGTTGACCTGGGACAGATGGGAGGTCCTGGCTCATGGGTGCCTTCCCTCAGAAGGAAGCAGGGTCACTCTCTCCCGGGAGCAGTGGGCTTACCTCCTGCCCTGTGGAATCTGCCACTTCTACTTTTGAAGGGCCTCAGACCAGTGAGTTAGTCTATCTATATTCAAGGGTCCAGGGCCATCCATCCCTACCTGCTCTTAGACCTGGGGCCTGCCCATTTTTTTAATATAGTAAATTTTTCATAAAATTTCTAAAAATTTACTATATTTCCTGGATGTTTGATTTCTTTGGAAAAGTTCAAATCTGGCCACATCTTCCCAGATGTCCTGTCTTGCCACACCAGGGGCTGGCTAGGGCCGGCCCCAGCATCGGTCAGTCAGTCTCTCTCAGTTGCTATAACCTATAGCTATCTTATTGGTGGTACTCCTATGGCTCATGGTTAGCCTGATAAAAAGATTTTGTGTATTTCTGAAGCAGAAACCTACATTGTCCAGCCAATCCTGTTATCTGCGTACTATTGCTACTATGACAACCACAGACTAGGGCAGTCGTAAAGAGACCTGCTTTGGTGCAAAGCTCAGGTCCAAGGTCAAGGTGGTGGTTTTGACCATCTGGTGGTCTTCATATTGGTAGGGTTCAGGTAATATGGGGGCTCACACGCATCCTCAGGAGAGACAGGAAGTGCGAAGGAGACCAAGCCAAACTGGCTTTTATTGCAGATCTCTTGAGGTAGCCTATTAACCTTTAATCCATTAATTGGATGATGGATTAATTCTTTGGAGAGGGCAGAGCCTTGATCACCTCGCACGGTCCCACCCCATCTCAAGGCTGATATCTTACATGGGGATTAAATTCAAAGTTAATTCAGAGGGAATGGACCAGTATTCAGACTGGAGCAGCGTTGTATGGTGTCTTAAATGGGAATAAGTTGTGCAGTTTGAAGTGGCATATTCATGGAGGTTTCCAGTTCCCACAAGTGTTGTCTCCATCAACATCTAAATACGGAACCCTTGATGGGAGGGTAGGGAGGCATCTAGGAGCTATGGCACGGGAAGACCTTTCTTTACCATTAGTCACAGGCTAGCACTGTCTTAGGTCTCACACACACAACACACACACACACACACACACACACACACACGCATGCACACATACAGCACCCCCACCCCCACCCCCTTTTTATTTTTCATAATCACAGCCATGTTGAGTTCTCCCCATTTTCAGGTGCCTTTGAGACTGTTTTTTTCTGTGCAGGCTGGGTGGGTCCAGATTCCCAGGAGGATAGGAGAGTCAGGCATTCAGCCTGAGACCGAAGCCCTTCAACTTGTGCTCATTGGCTGCTTGGGTTGATTTGTTGTCATCACGGATTTTAAATGCGACCCGAAGGCGGGTAGTCTAACTTTAATTTCCTCTGGTTAACACTGTTCAAGTTCAGACTGAGATAAGTATTGGGAGTACTTTGAACCCCAAATCCTAATCGCTCCACTTAAGAAGGCCATGTC